GAGGAACGGAGTAAAGGTGTTATAGAATTTTCTTGAGTTATTATTCATGTCCTCACATATGGCATTCCAATAATTCTTGATCGCCTTTCTTCTTAATCGTGTGGCATTATTGCGCCATTTCTTCATTAACTCCATGTTTTCTTTGGTTTTGCTTTGACTGAATTTCTTGGCATACTTTCTCTTTTTCCGGATGGCTTCCTTCCACTCACCCGTCATGTATGGTATGTCTATCGTCCGTGCTTTAACTCTCTTTAATGGCAGGTGTTTATCCACAATCCTCATTAATTCCGTGTACCAATTATCATATAGCTTATCAACTTCTGTCACATTTTGTTCAAACCATACTGCTTCCTCCAGATCTTTTTTGAATTCTTCCATATCTAGTTTTTTAAAGCTTCTGCAAGTAATGATGTCTGCTGTGTGTTTTTTGACAGTTTCCTTGAGAAAACCATATACCATACAATGACTACTCAGGCCAATATCACTGACTCCAGCATTTTTAAAAAGATCCGGTTGATTTGTCAGGAGTACGTCCAAGAGCGTCTGCGATGTATCCGTAATTCGTGTGGGTTCAGTAACAAGACATGTCAGCTCAAAGACTTCCTCAATGTCTCTCAGCAGCTTTGCCTCTCTTCCATTTACCTTAAGTTTATCCATGTTTAAATCTCCCATGATGATAACCGTAGAAAATTGCATGGTGGCCCACATAAGGCATTCATTGAACTCTTTTTCCAGCTCTGCATAGTAATTGGTCCCTTTACAATGCGGAGGTCTGTACAGACCCAAGGTAATTGCATTTGTGTTATTTAACTCGACCTTTACGGCCAATACCCCTATCAGCTCAAGTACAAAAGGTACTCTAAGTTTCTTTGAAGGTATTTGCGATGTTATGTAGGTTAAGACTCCTCCGCCTCCCTTTGCCCTATCCTGGCGATAGATCTTGTAGTTCGGGAGGCTGAACTGTGCATTCGTGTAGGAAGAATCAATCTTTCTTTCTGTTAAAACGATGATTCCTGCTTTGAGTTCAGAGTTAATTGCCTTCAGTTCGTCGAACTTGCTCTGCAGACTATTGATGTTGGGTATGATCATCTCATATCTAACAAACGCGAGTGGAATAATACTTTTAAAAAAGCCCACAAAATATGGAGAATTCTTCCCGACTTTCTTTGTAAAAACAACTGATTTTCAGGTTGTTTTTAATTTTGAGCAGACGCGTACTGTTACCATATTTGGAGAGCATGGTATAATGGCTCATATACCCTGATGGCTAAGCCAATCAGAGCTCTAGAATTGCATTATCCAATGATTCAGTTCTTAATAAAATGTAACATACTATGCTATTATGTGATATACTATAATAATCTCGTACCTTGATCTCTCATCTCGCCTTCGACTTCGTCAACAAGAGATCTACGTACGAGATAGGGAGCTAGTTTAAGCAGCGACGTTTATTGAGCGACGCACGTCCACCGGAAGTTAGCATTTTTCTCTCTTTATACTCATTGATGCTACTTAATCTGTATTGCTAAGTGATTTTACTCTTATAGAGACGATTTGGCCAAATATTTTTTTAAAATCACGGTTCAAGAGTGAAAAAAGTCCACTTTCAGTTGACTTGCATCGCTAAAAAACGTCGCTGCTTAAACTCCCTATAATATCCATAACGCTCCTCACGAATGGTTAATCTAGAATGGAAGACCTGCAAGAACCACAAAAATTCACTGAAAAACGTAATAAAACGCAACACCGCATCGAAACTTACTGCTGGTTGATAAAGATTTCCGCAAAACTGCAGGTCTGTAGAAACGTACAACCCCCTGCCCCTCACTAATCGCTGTTAAAGAACATTTCCTAGTTCATGTGGTATCAGGGTACTAGCAAACCTGAACATGAGTGAACTCAAGTATTTTCGACAATGTATTGATGAGGGTCGTTCTGAGGTCTGAGCTCAGCAGTGAAATACGTAGACACGTGATTATGTTCATCCGGGTGATTGATTCACGGTTGTGCGAAGTACTAGACAATTACATGCAAAATATCTACAGTTTCCCTTATAGTCTATTAGAAAGTAACCTCTTTTTCTGCCTCTTGATATTGGTTGTAGTAATAATAATGAAGATGGTTCAATCAAACTCTGAAGACCTAGTTGTTTCTGGCTCTTCGAGATCTCACAGTGATCGGCTTCAAGAGAGTGACGTTCACATACGCCTTCCTGCTAGTATGTTTCACGAAAAAGGTATCTAAAGAAATACTTAATTCTGTTTATTTATATTCAGTGTTCTAAACCGGATTAAGTTCTCATAAAAGCGTCTCGCTCCAAATTCACGTCACCAACACAAAGTCACAAGTCACCTCTTTTTGAATTGAGCCGAAGGCAGTAGGTCATGTCAGATCTTCAGCGCATAAGTTTGAAAAAACTAAATGGAAAGGCAGGCAATTTATTTCCACCTTGTTAAAATACAGCAGATTAGCAATAAATCTTTTTGGAGATTCAAGTCCGGCCCAATGTCGTTTCTTGTCTTTAGGTAGCTATATGGCAGCCATTGTGTACAGCAATCTCCACAAATTGCTTCTCTCAGAGGCTCAAACTTTCCTTGATGGGCAAAACCATGTGTCCATGTTAAGAAATGTTCTACATACTAGAGAGTTTTCAACTTACTCCTTCAATATAAGCTATCCTTTCAGCATAACACAATTTTAAGGTTTAGACTCGCCTTAGTCCCGGTTCAGCAGACTGTAAGTAATCTAAGTCTAAACTGTTCATTAGGATATATTTCAATAAACACATTGAGAACTTTAAAGGTTAACTTTAATTACCTCCGACTGTAAGTTCAGTTTATGCTTTTTATTATTATTATTTTTCATTTATTCACTGCAAAAAAGAGTTCCCACTGAAAGTGGATATATAGGATCTCGTATCTTCGCCGTTGCTGTGGAACCGTTAAAGTACCCACTTCAAGGAAGAGCATTATTCGACTTCGGTCATCTTAAGGTAACTTTTATTAATTGGTTATAAACTTTAATAATATAGCAATACCTACAGTTGTCTAGCACAGTCAAATCCCGTTAAAACGGACCCTGAGGGGGCCATAGAAAGTGTCCGTATTAAACAGGTGGAATTTAGAGAAAATGTCAGGGCTTTCTTTACCCAGGGACAAAGAAAACTGTTTGTAATAATGAGGTGTCCGTATTAAGAAAGCGGGTATCCGTAAAACGGGGTTTAACTGAACATGACTCATCCCTTCTGCTTCTTATTGAGGCTTCGCTCCACCTTCTTGATATTCACATGAAGCGAATTGGAGTGTTTTTAAGGAAAACAAACACTTTGGTTCCTGGCCAACGTAGTTACGTCAGTGTGATGGATTCTTTAATACAGACAAGCCTCACTTTACGGACACTCGTTTAATACGAACACCTCCGCATTGTTACTGACAGTTTGCTTTGTCCATAGGGAAAATAAAGAAAGCCCTTATTTACTCCAAATTCAACCCGTTTAATACGGACACTTTCTATGGGCCCCTCAGAGTCTGTATTGACGGATTTTGACTGCAATGTATTTGGAGGCCCAACTTGTTAATCCTTTATTTAATTTTTTTTTTTAGCCGATGTTGCGTTCGAGCAAGCCGGAATGCGTTTTCTGGAATTTTTCCATTATGTAAGTTTAAGTGTTACATCAGTTTAGTTTTTTGTTTTGCTTTTTGCCATGTTAGTAAAAAAACGGACCAGAACCATATGCAAAAAAATACAGTGTATATTCTCTCTTGCCTTTAGGTTTGTTTTGAAGGACAACTATTTACGCGAGTTTTACGGCTCATAATATCACCAATACCATTTGCAGTTAAGGCGTGAACATAATAACCTATTCACACAACCCCATTATAGTTAACCTGAAAAATGGTAAATGTTAGTTATCCGAGCAGAATTTAGGTTAGCCTATTATGTAAGCACATCACTTCGCTATTAAATGCGCAAACAAAGCCATTTTTACTTAGCTTGAAAGTTTGTCGAAGAGATACTTCACCTGAAGACTTCTTCTAGAGTTTTACTCCTGAGAACAGAATTGAACACAGAACGTTCGTTTTATGTTTACAGATATTTTTCTCCTTTATATTTTTCTATTAACCAGGCAATATGGCAGTTAACAAGAGGAAACAATTGCATCTTCACTAACAGCTTTCAACCTACTGTTAATTTATTTATCATTTTTTGTTTTTTTCACCAGGGGTGGCTCCAATGGCTCCAGTGGCTCCTGGTGAAGGAGAGGCTACAAAACTGAGAACTACACCAGCAGAAGAACGTATTGCAGCTGTGATCATCTGACTCACTTTGCCGTGTTGATGCAACTCAAAGACCAGGAGATCAATATTTTTAAGAGATGAGCTCAGTGATGAGTTTTAATAGCATTATCTCTCTAACTGAACGGGCGTAGCCAGCTTTTAGACTGGTCGTAGGCCTGGCTGACTTTCATTTCCACACATCCTGAAAATTGCGCGCATGACTTGTACACACTGACCTCACACCAACTCTTTGAGCTCTTAAGCTTTTTAGCTCACCCAAACAACGCATAATTTACTACATAGGCCAGGGCCTACAGGTCTATAGGCTGGCTACGCCCCTGAGCTAAGTTAAATTGACGGCCTTGATGGAGAAATTCTTAAATGCAGAAGGTTTTAGTTTTCATTTGACGCTTTATTAATGGCTGAAAGAGAACATCTTTTTTTCTTTAGATACCAGTTAAACATCGTATGGCGCTAGAACTGATCACCTATATCGGCTGTGCCTTCTCTTTGATGGGAGAATTTATCACAATTGTGGCATACGTAGTTTTTCTGCAAGTAAATCTGACTGCTTTGTAAGAAAGGATAGGTATCTGTGCGGCAATATAGGCAAGGGAGGAGGAGGTGATTTACCGCGCCCCCACCCCCGCCCAAAAGGCAACAACAAAAAATCTGAATAAGGAATAAACTGGTCGTTTCTCTCTCTCTTTACGTGTTTTTAGGAATCTCAAAGCGGCAGATACACAGATAAGACTGAACTTCGTTATATCAATTGCTGTTGCCCAGCTGATCTTCATTTTGGGAATTGACGCCACACGGACCAAAGTGAGTACATGTATAGTCAGCGGATCAAATGATATAATAACTAAAAGACGAGAGGCGTCATTTAGAAAACGAAAAACCCACTTGTAATGAAAACTTTCTTATTAACTTGATTTAAACTAAAAAAAATTGGTTGCAACAGAAATAGCTTGTTCTCCCTAGCTACGTATCTACTGGTTACTCTTTAATAGTTTCCTTCGGAACTTTTCGTAGATCACAAAGCTGTCCTGGACTCCTGCTTTCGTGCCTAGTTTCTGATTGTATGAAATTCACTCGTTACTTAATTAAAGGGGGGATTCTTGTACCTTTATTTTTCTTTTGTCCATTTCTATCATTTTTTTTCCAAATCTATCCAAAGATGGATACATAAGGTCAATAAATTGGTTTGATAAATTTGTGAAAATTCTTGGGTGATTGGATGAGTAAAAATTGGAGGTATGTATAAAATTGTGGAAAATTAGGCAAAATATTGGATTTGAGGACTATTGAAAATTAATGATTAGTAGACAAATACCAAAGTTATAAGGGGCCTGTCTCTTGATCAGTGTGCCCAAACACATCACTTTTTAGAAACATATACAATTTGCGCCTTGAATACAATACTTAAGAAAATCTCTAAGATTCTACTTTGTCGTGATTCACAGAATTAAAAGTTTTGACTTTTTTTCATGTAGCCATAAATGAAATTTTTGATCACCAAAAAAAGAAAAAAAATGACTCTAATTTCTAACCCTTCTTGCTGTTCTTTTTTCAGGCCATATGCACAACAATAGCCGCTGCCATACATTATTTCTTTCTAGTGTCTTTTTGTTGGATGCTAATTGAGGGCTTGACGCTGTACTATAAGGTGGTCAAAGTATTTGACACTGACTTCAAAATGTGGTCTTTCTGTGCATTTTTCTCGGGTAAGTTTAATCTAACCAACGATGACAAAAAGACTTCAAAGTCCACATGGTCTGAGATAAATTAAGTACATATCACTCAGCTATATATACAAGCCAGGTTGCCATGCTGGTAGTCGGAAAGACCGATTGTAATGGCAATTGTCACTCATGGATTGAATAGTTTTTTTTTTTAACGTCCTCAGTGCACAGTATATCGGCAAACGTTTGATGCTCGAACACGTTCTTTCATTGCTTGATTGTAATGCGAGAAGTTATTTGTGAGATTAAAATGGATAATTCAGTCAGGAAGTTACTATTAGTCTTACTTCTTTACATTGGAGAACTTGCAATTTTTCAGTCATTATTTCACGTTCTCGAAAAATATTGCTTTTTTAAGTAACCAATATTACTAAAGAAGTTTACCTTGTTTTTCTTTTGTTATTTTCACATGTATAGCAAAGATTGTCTGCTTTTTATTCATTCTAATTTTACTTTTAGTTAATAAAACGTTCCCTTAAACAAACTGGAGGTAACAACTAATTACCAAAGGCAGAAAAAAGTCAGTTTGTCATACCAAACACGGAATTATATGTCTTAAATGTTTTTCCCTTTCCTGGAGCCCTTTGTATTTTCAACCGCGGAACCATGTACGTGGGTAATCAGACGAAAGATGACAAATGATTTTTTTTCTTAGGCTTCCCATTGGCCCTGGTATCAATTTCCTTATTAACGGCAGCCGCCAGTGAAGGAGGCATCGCCAGTTATGTTGCTGACAGCTTGTAAGTTTTTTCTTCTTCTTAATGCCAGCTGAAAGTTAACGTCAGTAGCTGGTGCCACTCAATCTAGGTGTTTTACCCATGCAGGTTTAAGCCAGACGTTAAAATTGTCTCGAGCAGACTGTTTTTACTCAATTATACTAGATAGTCAAAACACCTTTTACCTTTTATTGACATTCACTCTACATCTACTCTTGCTTGACATGCTTACTCCATGCCATTTTTAGGCGAGTGTTGCGGGCTTGCGTCGTACTTTTTCCGTTATTGGGTGTTACATGGGTGTTTGGTGTTCTGAGTGTGACAGACCTAACTGGAATGGTGTTCCAGTACCTCTTTACCATATGCAATTCTCTACAGGTAATTTTTAGCTTTTGGCCTTGTCTAAATCTATATTAGGGTTGTATTAATTACAAGTTTCGTGTGAAGAGGTGTAGGATTTGCATGCTTACCTTGAAAAAATAGTTTATTCACAGTTTAGTATGTTGAGTTACCCTTACAAACCATAATGTCAAGAACTCGCTTGGTTTTTATGCTTCAAACCTGTAAATGTCTCGTTAAGGGATATTACGAGCCTACAGCAAGGATAGATAAACAAAAAACACTGTACAAAATCCTTAACACGTGGAATGACGTGGAAGACAGTACGCGAAATGGGAATTTTAAGCAGCCGCAGTTTATAACATCAATAATCTTCCGCGCATTATATCTTTTTGTCCACAGTTCAAATAATATATGCAGTTTCATATATCTGCCTTAATACAAAAGTATCTTTGTTAAGGAAATAGTTGATATCTTTTTTTTTTTTCAGAATGTGAGCGTAATTTAAACCGATAGCTCATATAAACACAAACCTTTACGCTACAAAGTTGAAAAAAGTGAAAACGAGGTTTATAGCCCTCAAAAGCAAAACAGCAATCACGTATAGAGACGGACCGTTTTTTCAGCCTGCTAGCGCTGTTTTCTCAATCGCTTACATTGCAGTATTTAATTGATTTGAGTTAGTCTTTGAAGCCAGTTTCTGCTATATACTTTAATACCTCATCAGATCTTAGATGTACGGTAATCTGTGACAGGCTGGAACGCTCTACAATATACAAATACAGGCAAAGAACTTTTGACGCCACCTCTATTTATTTATGCAGGGATTTTTGATATTTCTTCTTCACGTGGTACGAAGCAGTGAGTTCCGGGTCACCGTAAAAAGAAAACTATGACGTTGGGGAAGTAAAAGAAATCCCACTGTTGTTCCCGCGATAATACTGCCAACAAACAACAACAAGAACGACAGTTACGACATGCGCAGAGACTCAATTGCGTGCGTCAGGAAAGGAGGAGGGACCTCCATTGATAACAGCTAGTCAAAAACTTACCCAAAGCACATTTATCTTATCCTAGATTTACAGGGTAATGATTCGAGGAAGTTTGTAGCTCGCCAGTGTCAATACATATACAGTCAGGTATAAAGACTTGACACACTGGAGAGCTCAGGTGTTTAAAAGCCGAATTTCCTAATATAATGCATAGCAGCTATTTGAGAAGGGTAGCAGCTTGAGGGAAGCGCCGGCTGGAGAATCTGGCGAAAAAAATTGAAGAGACGTAGATAATATCACCAAAGTTAACATGGGCTTATAGTCATTAATATACTAGACTCTTAATCTCGTACCCAGATCTCACTGTGTTTTACGAGGGAGATCTGGGTACGAGATTACTAGACTCTATAATCATAGCCTGTCAGCACCAAAAAAATTTCCAGAAGAGGCCGAAACACTATCTTTGCCGAATTTGTTCATCCAACGATACCTTTAGTGAAACGAAAGACCTGGACCTCACATGAATTTCTTTAAAAGACTCAAAAATACTGGAAGTTATCCAATAAATAGGTCGTTAGTACAGTGTAATCCCGTCTTACGACCACCTCGTTATTACAACCATATTGTTTCACTGAGTTATTCTACTATTTTGAAGACCACATTAATGCAACCACCTTGTTATTATGACCAGGACGGTGGTCGAATTGACAGGGTTCAACTGTAAATACCTTAAAATTAACCAAAGATTTCATTATTACCGGATGTTTGCAGACCATGCCCTCTGCCAGGATTTAATGCCTGAAGATTTAATGAAACAGTCTTAAAGGCGATTTCGTTTCGGAATAGTCGGAGTAAATGGAACTCTAGAAATCACAGTCTATATCGTTGCTATTATTAATGTTTTGGCAGTCACTACATTAAAATATTTAGAAATCTAAGAATATTTCAATAAAGATTGATGTTGTTCAAAGTGTTACTATGATAAAGATTGTTTAAAAATGAGTATCAGCACGAATCGTCACCGACCCGGCCGTCTATTGGGTCATCCCCCAACGCAGCAATTGATAGTCTCGGTATTAATTAGTTAATAGCTTCTGGTACCACAACAGTTCGCTTGCGAATTTTTCGACAAGACAGAGAACTCAGAAATTCTTTCCTGAGAGCGCGGTTTGTGGCTCCGTATATAAATGGATTAATGGAAGAACTCAGACACAGAAAATAAGTGAAAACCAATTCTCCTTGGCGAGGAAAACGAGGATCTACCATGTTATAACTCAGGTAGTTACACATCATGGCTGGAATCCAGCAGGTTAAGAATCCAAGCAGGACAGCAAAAACTGTCTTAGTTATTTTCACTTCTTTTATCCTCGTTGCTCCAGAAATAGGCTGTGGGGCAGTTGTTGCGGATGTTTTGGAGGAAGTGTTGTCAGTTTGCCCTTGGAAATAACTACTTCTTATTGCTCTGAAAACTCGAAAATATGACAGGCTTATTATAATCAATGGAATTGCAACCGTAAAAACCAAAAACACGTGCGAGACCATCTGGGATGTTTTTAGTTGCTTGAAGGTCGTAAAGCACATTGCGCGTCTCGGGTCTAACGTGATCCTCGCGAATCCCGCGGGACAAGAGATAGACACGAGGCTAAGTATGATCATCCCTTCGGCTGCCACCATGACAAAAGTTGATTTCTTACTGAAGATCTTGTTGTACAGTCTTTGATGTACTACGCAGATGTAGCGATTAACGGCCGTTAAAGCCATAATGTGCATCGACAAGCCGATTAGAGCAGGAGACATTACACCTTGCAACAGACAAGGAAAGCTTCGAACATCAAGAGGATTGACATCAACGATCCATTTTCCTGTCATCAGAACTATTGTCGCTACAGTCTGCGTAAGGCAAGCCGATAGCAAATCGGTGATTGCTAATACAAGAATCAATAAGTTTGTAGCAGTACGGAGTCTTGGATTTCGTAGCAGAGCAAAACAGATTAGAAAGTTTCCAACAAATGCTGTGACGGTTATAAGAAGCATTATTCCAGATTCAATAGCGATGAGATACGTGGGTCTCGACGCAAGTTGTTTGAAATATTTCGGCGCCAGCCACCAGTATGTCTCATACAAATTGGTCCTTGGATTCATGACTGTTGAGTTTTCCATGGCTTGAACTATCTCCTCACTGTACGCAGTTTGGTTATAGACGATTCTTCTTCAACTTCCTTGGCCCTGGCGCAGGAGTTTTTATTGACCACTTTAACACTTGAGTGTAACACCAGAGGAAATCCTTTAGTACACTAGCAGCTTGCTCAATTTTTATTGACCTGCCAATTTTGCATTATATCCTGAGTAACATCTGCTCTGAGACGCATGAAGTATAGTTTCAATTATCCTTTGTGTTTTATGATTGCTTATGACATGGTTACTAATCGCCTTACGCGATATGATTAAGAACGCCAAGGAAGATCATTATTATCCTCATTGCTATTTCCATGGAAATTAAGGCAGGTGCTTTTAATTTCTTTTAATAAAAACCAATCCCTGTTTGAGATTGTGTCGTTTAAATATAGACTCTTAAGTACACACGTCAGACGTCTTATCTATATATCAGACGGGTATAATTCAACCTACATAATTGCAGTCATAGATTATTACTTCTCGAGAGTAGAAGAGAGCATGCGCAAAACTCGGAAAGTTATCGGCTCCAAATGCTGTCCTGTATCAGTGACTGAAGCATTTTATTTAAGTTTCTTTTTACAAAACAAGTTGCTGCCAAATCAAGCCAATAAAGAAGAATTTATAACAATACATACTTTTTGGTTTGCCTTTGAAAAAAACAAATAATCAGAGGAACTAGATGTCATTTTATTTAATATTGATAACGCGATCAACACCACCGAGGTAGTTAGTGTTCTGTTTTCTCCGGTAGCAAGCGGTGGGAACTCATACAAATTACTGATTTTTTTTGTTCTTTGTCATGAACAAATTATTTTTTTGATGATACCAATTTCAGCTGAACAGGCGCCTGATGATTATTATCGCGTCCCCAGCAGGAGTAATTACATCCATAGGTCCTTTCACTTTCCCGCGACATTTAAGGACATTTGATCTCAATCTTCAAATTGGGAGTTCCCAATAGGTTTTTGGGGATCCGGGATTTCCCTTATCTGGAGCTCGGGATTCGGGATTTCAAAGCAAAATCGTGGCGAGATTCGAGATTGAAAGTATGCGCTGGAGGTGGAATGCCAAAGATAACCCGCGGGATTACGATATTGCACTATTTCTGGGGCGGGATTGCGGGATTGAAGAACTTACTGGGGACGCTCTTAATTCGTTTTCGCTAATTTGAGAAGTGTAAGGAAACATGGTCGACGCGAGCAAAGACTGAAAATATAATAAAAATAACGAAAAAATTAAAAAAAAATTACGAATCATGCTTATAATTGACTGAATTAGCACATGATTCACGAAACAAAAATTGCATCGATATCTAGGTTAATAGAAACACTGGAAAACATGGCGGGTCTGCGAGAGGATAGAATAAAGGGCCGCAAGAAGTCAAAAGTGAATCCACGAATCGCGCTAAATTCAGCACACGATTCAGGGATCACGTTTTCATCCATATTCTCGTAAATTCTTGTAACTGAAAATGTGCGAATCACAAAAAAGTAAAAAATTCAATCATGCTTTACACCACCGGGAAAGAAAACCTTTCTCTCTTTATTCTTTTGGTTTTATTCATTATTGATATTGATACATACGTTGCAAGCTATAGGGAATTCTAAAATTTCATTGGCTGGGTGGAGTACACATCTAAACTTTATACTTCATACTCCATCCTATATTTTCTTTGTGAGACATCAACGTGACACTTGGACTGTGTGAAATTCTGGAAGCTTATTGAATGATTCGTGTGTGTTAATGGCCTTCAGTTTATAACTGGCAGTTTTCGTGTGTTTGTGAACATCGGCATTGTCTTTTTGTTTTTCCAAGACACCAAGTTTTCTGAAGTTTAGACCTTACCGAAATTTCGTGTGAAAATAACCCCTG